ACTTCATATATTGCTAGGCATCACACAAAGAACTATTATTTGCAATAGCAATTTGAGACTGCGAACAACAACAACGTGATACTGTTTGCAACCCCAAATTGTTGGTTTGCGAACAGTAGTTTGCTATTCGTAGTAACCTGTTGTTAAAATATATAGTATTTATATGAATATTATGAAACATATACTAACATTTGACAATGAAAAATTTACTTTGTTCATGTATTTAGGGAGAATTAGAGAAGTTAGGGGTGAAAATTTCATAGAAAAAATAGAAATCAATATAAACAAGCAATAATGAAGTAAAAATAATATTATTTCGAATTTTTAGAGAAAGATTGTAAAGTTCAGGAGAGAGAGAAAAAACGGTAGAGTTTAGGTATGAGAAAAATATAGGATAATGAAGAAAAAAATAATTTTATTAAATTTAGATAGGTTTATAAAGTTTAAATAGGGAGAAAAATAGAGTTTAAATAGAGAGAGAAAATATTCAGAGTTGTTAGAAAAAAAATTTTGAAATCTTGGGGCTGATGGTTGGATTTCAACTATGTATATTTGAGAAGGAAAAGTCTACGAAAGTCCTAAAATTAAAAAGTCTACAAAAGTTCATAACTTTTTGAATATCACATGACTTTTAAAGACTCTTTAAAAGTCTTAATCGAATACCACACGACTTTTAAAGACTCTTTAAAAATCTTGATTGAATACCGCCTAACTTTTAAAGACTCTCTAAAAGTTTAAATTGAATACCTCTAAACTTTTAAAGTTCATAAAAGTCTTTAAAACTCTACAAAAGTCATGATTGAATACACCCCCTTTAGTCTTTAAGCTCTAAGTGCCGTGGCAAGAGCGCCTAAAACTCTTGTTGGGGAAAGTCTTGTCACATTCCTGTTTCTTTTTTTCAGTTTACAATCAATAAAAAAAAAAAATACCTCCATGTTCTTTTCTCTAACAAAACAACAGAAAGCTCATTACAGATGGCATGCTGCATAAGAAAAACAAAAGTCAACCCTTAAATAACTAACCTGAAGACTTCATCTGTGATGAGAAGTGTTTGGATAGCCATTCGCTCATGAGCAACTTCCACATGTTTTGGTCCATAGCATGCACGATCAGGGTCCTGGAGTACACAATAATAAATAAATCAAAAACTTTTAAATTACAAACATTACTTGAATAATAGTTTAAAACCACACAGATCAAGGGTGAAACCTAACATTTGAAAGCATGTTGAAGAAATCCTTGAGGGCTTGTACCTAAGTAAAAAAGGAAGAAGAAGGACAGTTTCAGTTAGTCCAAAATAAGAATTCAAAACAAACATGATTTAATATAAAATTTAAACAAAAAAGAAATGAAGAAAATCTCATATCAAAGTGAATAAGGTGCAGAAATAACCTCTTTTGCAGCTTTTGTATCTTTAATCATATTCATTACATTGGGGGCATCTAGAACTTCTTTCAGACTATGCCTGTGAATCAAGTTTTTTTAATGTTAAAGCTTTGGAGGGCGGAAGGCGGCGCTGGATTGCAAAGATTGTTGAGGGTGAAAGACTGAAAGCTGGAGAGTTTGGGTTGCCTCAAGGTTGTGGAGGGTCTGCCTAACTGGTACTCTCAAATTTTACTTCATTCTTCATTTTTACTTTCTGATGTGACAGATAATGATAAGTTATTTTTCATCATGTGTGTCTCACGAATTCAAAAGTGGGAGTAAAACTTGGAAGTCCTGAGTAACTGCGTGATAGTGTAACGAAGGCACCTTTGTTGTTCCCCAAGCCATCTTCATTATATTCATGACGGCGAAATTTAAGCACCTTATTTGGGTTGATAGGAAAGAAGTCTAATCCACCATCTTCTTCTACTTCATATACTACATACGTTTCAATACTTAATTTCTTTTCCGCTTCTTCTTGTGTAACCGAAAAAAACTGTACAAGCACCTCTACTTCTTCCCCTTCATTGGGTTCATATACTCTCCATTCCAACTCCATTTTACCATTCCAAGACCCTCTTCCTCTCCCTCTTCCCTTCCTTGTTGCCATGTTGGATTCCAATAGCACCCACATGTCGAGCAAACACGAAACCATCACAACGATGAATATCCGTTTTTGCTTCAAAAACAATGGCAAAGTAGAGTAATTTGAAGATGAACATTCTCCCACTCCAACTACTACTTCCTTGCTCCTCCGCAGGTATTGTGGAACCATCTCTTTTGTAAGCTTCATTGTCAACCGTTCATCGATTCTAAGGCTTGGGTTTTTAAAAAGTGCCTGCAGCAGCGTTATATATTAAGATAAGAAATCAATGCTTGAAAATTAAGCATTATCATCTACTATATATTGACTATGAGAAAGCAGAGAGAGAGATGACTAACCTTGAACAACTTCACACACCAAGATTTACTGCTCAGAGTGCTACAACCTGTTATGTCCATTGTTTTTAAATTAACCAGATTCTCAACGCCTACAAGCTCAATCAATTTACTGCAGTTACCCAGATACAATACCTCTAGACTTAATAAGCTAGATAGATCTGGTACACTTCTCAACAAGGGGCAATTCTCTGCTGAGAATTCACTTAGGCTAAGTGGAAGATCTTTAATCACCTGAAGATTCAGACAGTTGTTCAAATCAAGATATTTTAGCTTGGAAAGATGACAAAGGGTAAAGGGCAGGGCATCGAAATCACTATAGCTTAGATCTAAAACTGTCAATAAGGATAAACTCTCATGACCAGTTTGAAGATCTAAATGTTGCACATAGTGGTAAGGAGCACATAGATGTTCCAAGGAACATAAATTAGCGTTTGACGATCTCAAATGCCGATCATAATACCCCACAACAGTACTGAAACGTGGCGGCCCTAGATTCAGATTCTTGAGATATCTCAAAGATCCACAAGAAATGGGTAGATGTATCACACAAGTCTCACTTGCATCAAGGGAATTTAACCGCTCCAATTTTCCCAAGTCAGTTGGCAATTCTTTTATCTTCAGGCAACGTGTCAAATTAAGACACTCAAGAGATGTCAAGCTGCAAATGCTACTAGGAAGCCCGTTGAGGTTCTTGCAACCACTCAAATATAAGTTGACAAGGTTTACTAAATCTCCAATTGATTGAGGCAATTCTTTTATCTTTGAACACTCGACCAGAACAAGATCCTTAAGAGACTTCAAGTTGCAAATGCTACTAGGAAGCCTGTTGAGATTCTCGCAAAATCTCAAATTTAAGTTGACAAGGTTTTCTAAATCTCCAATTGATTGCGGCAATTCTTTCATCTTTGAACACCCTACCAGAACAAGATCCTTAAGAGATTTCAAGTTGCAAATGCTACTAGGAAGAGCTCTGAGATTTTTGCAACTTCTCATGTTTAACTTGACAAGGTTTTCTAAATCTCCAATTGATTGCGGCAATTTTTTTATCTTGGAACACCAATCCAGATGAAGACACCTAAGAAACTTCAAGTTGCAAATGCTACTAGGAAGCGCGTAGAGATTCTTGCAAGCACTCAAATATAAGTCGACAAGATTTTTTAAATCTCCAATTGATTGCGGCAATTTGTTAATCTTGGAACACATTGCTAGATCAAGATGCTTAAGAGACTTCAAGTTGCAAATGCTACTAGGAAGCACATTGAGATTCTCGCACGATCTCAATTTTAACTCGGTAAGGTTTTCTAAATCTCCAATTCGTTGAGGCAATTCTTTTATCTTAGAACACCGCATCAAAGTAAGACACTTAAGAGACTTCAAATTGCAAATGCTTGTAGGAAGGGCATTAAGATTCTTGCAATCAATCAAGTATAAGTTCACAAGATTTTCTAAATCTCCAACTGACTGCGACAATTCAACCAACTCTGAACAACTATTGAGGGACAATTCCATTAAACTATGTGCTCCAGCAAAGTTTGGGGCTCTTTTAAGTTGCATACAATATTTGAGCCTTAAAATCTGCAAGCATCTAAAATGCTGTAGAAATCAAAATATAAAAAACAGTGGTTAGCTTTACCATATATTTCAGTCTAATTAAATTAAGATGCCTTTTTAAAAAGATATAGGCCCTGTTTGGTATAAAATTGGCCTATAGGTCAATTTTAGCTTATTTGACAACTATTAATTGTTTGTTTTAGTTAAAATATCAATATAAATGTTTGGTTAATTAGTTTTTTGCAACTCCAAAAGGCTAAAATTCAAAAAGTTACTCCAAACAAACTTTTTTAATAGCTTTTTGAGAAAAGAAATTATACCAAACATCTATCAACTAACAGCTAATTTACCAAACACTTTTCTACAATCAGCTAATGTTATCAACTATACCCTCTAATTAACACAATCAGCTAACAGCTAACAGTCATTTTACCAAACAGGGCCATAATGTCAAAAGAAATATCATACAAACATCAAACCTGCATTTTGGGTTGAAATTCTTCGAGATTGATGCCTTCTATTTCTAAAATAACAAGTTTCCCTAGACAAAGATCAGATGATATGCGTCTCAGATGGCAATTATGCCAATAAAGCAATCTAAGCTCGTTAGATAAGTATTTTAAAGATCCTTGGACATTCGTGGATAAGATTCTAAGTAATCTTAGCTTCTTCATTTTTAGGAATACCTTGGTACTCAAATGCCCTTCAATTGGCAAATTTAATATCATTGTTTCAATTGCTTCAGTGTCCTGGAAAAGAAAATTATCATAGGTAAATAAATAAATTATTGAAAAAGTATAAAATGTGATTAACTAAGCAAGTGATGTAATAAAACAATAAAGTAAATCAAGTACAAACAAACATTTTACCTTGTTATTCATGAAAACATCCGAAACTTCATCATTTAAAAATAATCTGCTTCTTTTTTCAGGTTGCATAGGAGATTCTTTGCGAACAATTTCTCTTCCCATATCTCGAACTAAATCATGCATACTAAGACTTTCTTCTAACAAGCATCTATCAATTAAAGTTCTAATTCCACTTCGAGCATGGAAACCACAACCATTCAAAATCTTAATAATATCTCCTTCTGAGAAATCTGAATAGGTGAAAAAACAAGCAATGTCAAGGAAGATTCTTTGAGTATCATCATCAAGTGCATCATAACTAATTTTGAGAGTCTCCAAAATATTTCTATAAGGTCCATGAGGAATCCTTTTTAACTTCTCAAAGTCATCTATCCATTCTTGAATTGATGATCTTGCCCCAAAATGTGAGCCTAGAGTGGTAAGTGCCAAAGGGAGTCCACCAACATAACTTACTATCATGTTTGATAGTTCCATAAAAGCCTCCTCAGAACTTGGCTTCTTAAAAGCATGCCAACTAAAGAGTTGCAAAGATTCCTCGCAACTTAAGACTTCAACATTATACTTCTCACAATCTCTTCTAAGGCCATTTAACAAATCAACATTTCTAGTTGTGATAATAAGTCTACTACCTGAACCAAACCAATCTCGTTCTCCGACCAATGCGTCTAATTGACTCTTATCCTCTACATCATCAACAACAATGAGAACCTTTTTCAGTCCAAGTCTTCCTTTGATCAAACTAATTCCTTGATCAACATGATTAACTTTCAATATCTTTCCATTGAGAGTTTCACAAAGAAGCTTCTCTTGTAAATGTTGTAATCCTACACGCCCTCTATCTACACATTCTTGTCTAACATCTCCAAGAAAGCAACTACCATCAAATGATCTATAAATTTGGTTAAATACAGCTTTTGCTAGGGTTGTTTTTCCCACCCCGCCCATGCCATAAATCCCAATCATACGAACATCACCATCTGCTTCACTTTTTAATAAAGAAAGTATATCTTTAACACGAGCATGAATTCCAACTAGATATTTTGAAACATCAAAGTATGTAGGGTTCACTACTTGCAGAACATTTTCTACAATATTGTCAATAAATGTTGATTCATACCTGTAAATTTTAGTTGAGTAAATTATTGGCTGGCCAAAGAATCATGTGAATGAGAGGAATAAAGGACAAGGAAAACAAGAAAAGAGTAACAAAATGTATGCAGTAATTTTTTTTAAAGGGGAGAAATCAGAGGTACCCGTCAGCAATGTTGCGTAAGTCCCATCCAGAAAAATTTGCAACCTTAGTTAATGTTGTTTTCCATTGGCTAACTTTTTCTGTCCCGAATCGTTGTTGATGTAGAGCCAATGCAACACCAAACTCACCCGTTTGATTGCGAACCTCAGAAGGATCCACATGATAGAACACTGGAAGAACCACCTGCTTTGCCTTTTCTTTACATTCCACTATCTTCACAACCTCCTCAAGACACCAGCGAGAGGAAGCATAAGTTTTGGAGAACACGATGATAGAAACCATCGATTCTTGAATAGCTGTAAAGAGGTCAGTGGAGATGTCCTCTCCTTTGCGGAGCTCTTCTGCATCTCTGAAAGTGTGAACTCCAGCCCGGCACAGTGCGGCAAAGAGATGATCCGTAAAGGATTTTCGTGTGTCTTCACCTCTAAAGCTCAAAAAGACATCATAATTCTTGCGCGGAAGTGAAGAGGAAGAAGAGGCAAGGATGAGTTGATTAGTTTGGGGAGTGGATTCCATGGTTATGGTAAAAACAAGGAATTAGAGGTTGCTTAGTGCAAGATTAGTAGTGCGTCTGATACTACTACTTCATGTGGCATTTATATACACATCATATCTGATCTAGCTTAGTGTAAGAAATATTGGAAATTGGTATCAAGTTTGTTGGATATTATAGCAGCAGCTAGATGTCCGGTACTGGTTTGTGTGTATATGTAAATTGCTCTGAACCTGCTTGTGTCACATAAGAAAGGGCCCCAATTGAAAGACCAACTTTAATGTCTTTTGATAAAGCAAATTCTGGCAGAATTATTTTTAATTATTGATATGATCAAAGTCTGGCAGAATTCTTTTTAATTTGTCAAAAGGGAATGGTATGATTGGTATCAATCAAGATTCATAAATTAAATAATTTGAGGAGACATCATATTGTCTTTGTGGCGATTCATAAATTTCAATTATTAGTATAAATCCAAAGTCTTAATAAAAGTAAACCCTTGTCTGCTTCAATTATTGAAAGAGGACAAGTGTTGAGGACAACTATGAGGATGACAACAAAGAAAAAATCCTTTGCAAATCTTGGAGGGTCCAAAGCAAGGACGAAGATATTTCATGAAATTGTGAGTGATTTTATTAGAAGAGTAAGTTTCTCCAGTTGTGACAGCCAAGCGTGGCAATCACACCTGCGCCCAGCGGGCGCCTGCAGCATGCGCCCGATGGGCGTCTCAGCCAAGCATGGCTGTCACACCTACGCCAAGCGGGCACGGCATGCGCCCGCTGGACGTGTCAAGTGCCTGACAGTGACCTATTTTTTTCCTCCCAAAAGACAAATGTTTATCTTGAGTTCGCATAAGTTTGGTGGAAGTTCTTGAAGCACTTGAAGGGTCTGACAATCTCAGGTAAGAGACAACCCATTATGTAGAACTCTTCTAGTCCAGGTGAAATTTGAAGTTTTCAAGCACTCTGACATTTGTTCATATTGAGTTTCCATAAATTTGAAAGATGACCTGCACCTTTTCTGGCAAGAGACAATTAGTTGCATTGAACTAAGCTACGCTAAGTGAAAGTTCTTGAACCACTTAAAGGTTCTAGCAATCCATCAAACTGTAACCTTTTAGAGTAGAAAGATGACTGGATAAATGGTAGGGTATCGCATAGGTAAGCATTTGATTTTAACAAGATTTTTCTCTCCTACTTCATATATACAAAGTACTAAACAACTAAGCATACATAGACAAATGAATCACATCTACTTGTACAAAAAATACTTTTATTCAAACTAAAAGCACATCTACAAAATGTGATGGTGTCTTCACCTACACTAAACTTTTAAAAAATGTGACAGAAATATTATTCCATTTGAGTGATCTGAGATGCCAAATGACGCGGTATATCAAATACCCAAATCCCATTTGCTTATGAATTGAAGAAGATAGCTCTGTTCTTGTGAAGACTATATACATAGAGTACAATACAAGTAATCCATTTTGTAATATAAGGCGAATGGGAAGTATATGTATTCAACCATCACCTACTAAGCTCTCTTTGAGGAATCTCACATCAATGTAATGGAGACAGAATAATGTGATTAAGCACTCCTTCCTCCATTCCATCACATTTCTATGTCATCTAGGTCGGGCAATGGAAACCGAAGGATTGCAGCAATACCACTCATCATCGTCAGTTCTGTATTTCAAATCCATATATGTCAATAAGCATGAATACAGGTTGGGGGTGGAAAGGAAATATATGTACATGGAGTATAAAAAAAAAATGTGCACAGAGAAAAAAGAAGCACTAATATCATCATCCACCGCCTCCCAACCCTTCATTTAGCTTGTAGTTAAAACAAACTCGTTTCAAGCCCCTACTATTCTGCTACCATAATCAAGTTTTGCTTTTTGGGTTCATGCATACTAACACAAACAACTGAGAAGGGTATCAGGCATTAAGCTCAACTAGTAAAGTGAAAACGAGTGAAATCAATTAATGTACTTACGTTCTCCAGAGACATGCATAGAGGAGAAGATGTGTGTCGTTCCCCCCGAACTCTTCACCGCATTCACCAAATAGGCATATTTTTGTCTCGTTGCTACATCAGAGTTCCTGGTAAATACATGATTTGGTACCTTCTTAAGTAAGAAATGCATTCCTAGAAATACTTCAATCATTGAGTCAACAAAACTTACACTAGATTGGGGTAATACCTTAAAAATTTAATAAAACTACGGCAGGGCATTAAAAATAAACTAGATGCTTCCAAGTTCAAAATGGGTTTGTTAATCATGTTGAGGCACAGGGAAGTCATCTATCTTTTTTATTTTTAATTTTGAAAAGTTATCTATTGATCAAAGTCTGTCAGAATTCTTTTTGTCAAAAAGAAATGGTATCAATCAATTCAAGATTCATAAATAATTGGGCCATTGGGTGAGACATCCTTGTGGCAATTCATGAATTTCAATTAGTATAAATCAAGAGTCTTAATAAAAGTACAGGCCTTGTCTGCTATGAATCACATTTAAATTTCAATTATTGAAAGAGGGCAAGTGATTCCTATCTAGGTAATGACAAGTAGTTGGAGTTTCCAAAATGAAGATTCACAACTTGTAATGCTAAGAAAGATAAAATATGTAAAATAAATTTAGGAAAGGGCAAAGCTAAAGACAAATTGAATGATCTAACACTCAAGGATAAAAATCATATGGATAAGATTATAAAAACATTCAAACCAGGTGCACCTATTACTTCTAAGATGTGTAAATAGAGCTCGATTCTTTATACAAAGAAACTATAGTGAAGTGCTCAAGAAACATGATACACACCAAAAGGAATGGGTAATTTACTCACGCAATAAAAGGAATGAATGCAAGAATGGAAATCAGGAAAATCAGAATGCACAGATTAGGGAGAGAGCTTAACTTAAGGGATTAGACAAGAATAAATCAGAGGCACAATTATCTCCTTTTCTATATTTATTTATTTATTTATTTATTTGCACTATATATTGGAACCTAAATGAGAGGAGACATTGAATCCTTTATCCTTAGTCTTTAAGCTCTAAGTGGAGTGACAAAAGCCTAAAACTCTTGTTGGGGAAAGTCTTGTGACGTTTCTTTTTTTCAGTTTCCAATCAATAAAAAAAATACCTCCCTGTTCTTTTCTCTAACAAAACAACAGAAAGCTCATTACAGATGGCATGCTGCATAAGAAAAACATGTTACCGAAAAGTCAACCCTTAAATAACTAACCTGAAGACTTCATCTGTGATGAGAAGTGTTTGGATAGCCATTCGCTCATGAGCAACTTCCACATGTTTTGGTCCATAGCATGCACGATCAGGGTCCTGGAGTACACAATAATAATAAATAAATCAAAAACTTTTAAGTTACAAACATCAATTGAATAATAGTTAAAACCCACACAGCTCAAGGGTGGAACCTAACATTTGAAAGCATGTTGAAGAAATCCTTGAGGGCTTGTACCTAAGTAAAAAAGGAAGAAGAAAGACAGTTTCAGTTAGTCCAAAATAAGAATTCAAAACAAACATGATTTAATATAAAATTTAAACAAAAAAGAAATGAAGAAAATCTCATATCAAAGTGAATGAGGTGCAGAAATAACCTCTTTTGCAGCTTTTGTATCTTTAATCATATTCATTACGTTGGGGGCATCTAGAACTTCTTTCAGACTATGCCTGTGAATCAAGATTTTTTTAATGTTAAAGCTTTGTTGCAGAATGAAATTTTTTTTTAAGATATAAACAACTGCTAGACTAAAGAAAGTGCTTGAACTGCTAAGATAAAAACTAACAAAGTATTGAGGATAATACATATTGGGAAATAATAAATGTGTATCCTCACTGACAAGTGACAACTTAAGTTCTTAGTTTCTATATTTCAACAATTAGCGAGAAGGGAAAGGCCTGAATCTAAGATAATTCAACATGCTTCTCTACGACTCTAATGGAGCCAAGGTGGATGTATTATATATCCATACCATGCAAGTATGAATGCATACATAAATGACCAAAAACATTTTATAAGAAATAAAATTGCTCCATCAACAACTTGCACATTCACGTGCAATATTACTATTGGTGAGTGAGATACAAGTAACACATCTCCTAATATAAAAATGGAAAAGAGATCATACTTATATCCCGAGGTAGTATGTGCAAGAATTATCCGTGATTTGTTCTCTATTATAGGTCTCAGTTGCTTCCTCTCTGCTTCTAACAGCAAGTGACGATGAAATTGATCCTGAAATTATTTGTATTTAGAAAGTTATGCACTGAACCGTAACAAATAACTTACTAAGTATGAGTTGATTAATTCCTTAAAATGTTTATTTGCATATAAAAACTGTAATGGAAAAAAGATTAAGATCATCAGAATAGCATCAGCTAGAAGTAATCACTAGAGAAACCAAGATGGACCTTTGTGAATCCTGGACTTGCAATCACAGCACAACGAATCACGTTGAAATCAATATGCTTAAGGAAAGCCTAAAACATAGAGATATTATTAATGGGGGGAAATTATGAGGTTATCTAGAGAGGAATTGAACTTTTGACGGGGAAAGAAGCAGCAATATGAAGCACCTCAAAACAACTTACATCTACAACATTATTGAAGAACTTGGTCAGAGCCTGCAAAGACAATAAAAAATAATCAATGAGCACAGCACTTCATTCCATGGTTAACTATTTTAAGCATAAAATAAAATAAAATAAATCCATTCTCAGCATTAAAGAAAAATGAAGAAGTGGGAAGAAAATTTAGATGCATACTTTATCATAACCAGCTATAGCAGGGCCATGCTTCCGAGGAATAGAAGTCTCTATCCGAGAACGAGAAATTGTTACACTGTAAACAAGCACTGTACACATTTAAAATATAAAATCTATTGGCCAGAAGCCAGAGAATTATAACTTTGTTACAAAATGTCTAGTCAAACAAATCCATCAAAAAAAAAAAAAAAAAAAAAAACATTTTGTGCATAGGATTCTCAAGATTTTTGGTGCATATTAATAGTCGAGCACACCTAATTTATTGGCCAAGTAGTCCTATACACTCCATGTATGAAAATTTATGTCCACATGGTGAGGAAACAGGAATTAACTGTTATTAATGGGGTATTAGAAAACTTAGTATCTTATTAAGTTATGTTACCTTTTACCAATTAGAAAAATTTGTGCCGAGCCCTCTTGCATCAAAACCACAGCCAGGTCAGCACTTGCAGCAGGATCTACCCTCATCACATGAAAAGGAACCCATCACAAAAGTGACTAAATATCAAGGTAAGAGAAGAAAACCTATTTTTCGGTTGCATTTTGTGATAAGGAACAGTCCTAAAAATAAATAATAAAAGTATCAACGCGTGTAGCAAGCATGCATATGTTTATGTTTATAGATAGATAGGTTAAAAGTGTATAAGACCACGGGTATAGGTTTACTGCAGTATAGGATTCTAAAATGCAAACAGCACAGGCCTGAAAAGTGAAAGCATGGCACTGCAGCAAAATGTTTAGATCTCAGAGATAACACCTCTCTCTCTCTCTCTCTCTCTCTCTCTCTCTGTGTGTTTTGGTGGTGGTGTTGGTTTTTTTTTTCTTCATTAACTTTTCATTTACCATGATAATCTTTAATAAAAGATTAAAAGGTAATATATTGTTATTTCTCTCTCTTGTTCCAACTTCCAATAGAAATTAAAGACAAACATTTCTAAAAGATTCTTACTGTCAAAATAACATTACAATTTGGTACAATCAACTGATGTAAATTAACAGTTTGTAGTTTATACCGGATACCACTTCAAGGAAGATGAGGAAAAGCTTAAATAACTAAAAAGAAAAAACTATAGATGCTGGTATCAAGCCAGTTATTTATTAACTAAGCATTTCAGAAAAGTAAAAAGGTTTGTACCAGGGCCCAGGGGCAAAGTAGGAGTAAGGAAGTAAGAAATAGAATTTACCAAATGTCAACAACTCTAACTAATTATGGAGAAAAAGAAGTTACATAATGAAAGGAGTCATTTTCCTAATTCAACAGAAAATGGCATACCAGCAGCTTGACGAAGAGCCTCCAAAGCAAGTGAGTCCCAAACGTCCTAAGACAAGGATAAGGAATATTAGCACTGAAAAACATCACAGAAGGGAAGAAAGGTAAAGATATATACCTTCCCCAAAACGAAAGGTCTGTGAAGCTCAATTTCTAGTGTGTGAAATGCACCAATCTGCAAGACAAATCAAGTAATTCAGAAGTTGTATAGCAGCTTCAAACCAATTAATGTACATTATACTATAGAAGTGCCTGTGATATACTGAGCTTATCTCCAATTAGGGTACCAAGAACTTCAAGGGGAAAAAATTGGGACCTTATAGAGATAAAGATCCTATATTGGGAAGTTAAAAACACACTGATATAGGGAGTAGGGAACAACTCAAATCAAATAATTCATATAAGCAAGAAATAACTCGTCAAATACAAATAGTTCACCCAACAACTTAACTTAGGGTTTGAATTGTAATACTAATACCTTTACATGTTCATTCTCCAGGATGTTCTTCCCACGTATACGCAAGGTAGAATCTTCTTTATCATACTCCACAGCCTTCAAAAATATTTTACAAATATTGATATATGGCATAAAACTGAACTCATATAACAAATTTGAACCCTTTAGGAGAAAGCTCCATCTACACATAAGTAAGTAATTAGTTGCAATGAAATGGAAAAACCACCAACACACAGTCACACACCCTTACTATCAAAGGGCATTAGTTGGCTAACCTTGGCATATGCCATAAAGTAGGGTTTACCTCAACTTTTATCTGTAATTTTAATTTTAGTCGTTCTGCTTCTCTTCCTCCCGAGGCATCTTCCCTTAAAACTTTCCTACGAGAGATCATGAACAATTGTCAAGAGCATTCTTGCAATTGCCAAGAGGCTTATAATCTTTCAACGGAAAAATAAGGTACCAAGCTCAATAGCAAATCTTTTGCATTACAAAAGAGTATAATTGGCATTAAAATGTCGATCTTAACGGTGAAGAGTACAAAATTACCTAAAAGTAGAAGCTAAAACAGTGTCACCCTCGCCTATCAAATTATAGGCAATCCACAAATCATCTGCTTCTTCAGCAACCATCTGCTTTGCAGTCCAATTCGCCGCCACAAATTCACATGAAGTTATCCGTAAACATTAAAAATGGAAATCTGAAAACACAATCCTTGCTCTACACACAAGCAGAGAGATTACCTTGACGCTGCCGGGGCCTTTGGGGATGAGGTCTCTGCGAACAATCTTCATGTTTTACGATTTTACTGGATATCTGATTGATAAAATTTCTCTTTAGCTTCTCTTCTAGGGATGGCAACGGGGCGGGGACAGGGAATCCCAGCCCCGTTTGCAATTCCAAATACGAAAATTTTAATAAACAAGATAATTAGGTGTAAAAGTACTATGCCAACTAAATTCCAGCAAAATACACATCCTTTAGTTAACCTATATATAGCAAGCAGAACAACTTCAACCGGACATGACCAATCATAGACTTACCACAAAATTTAAGCTTCCAAGCATCAATTTAGAGAAGAAATAAAATAGCACACAGCTTTTTCTGAAAGAGACTCAAATTGTGAAAATATATAATGGGTTGAAAAATAGCGAAATTAATGCTGAACTACATGGAAGTGGCAAAACCTTTGGAGAGCTCAATCTGAATAAAGACTGAAAACAACCCAAAGTAGCATCAATCAACACAAAGCTGCAATTGTAAACACTGAAAACTACCCAACTAGCAATAATCAACATAGAAAAGAAGTAAAAATTAAAAGCAACCCAAGCTAGCATTAATCAACACAGAAAAGAAGCAAAGATTGAGAACAGCCCAAAGTGAGAATGGAGGAATTACCTGGCAGAGTCGCAGAGCAGCAGCCGGTGACAGCAGACTGGGATGAGTCGCAGCCGACAAGAGAGGCAGAGATGGGGACGACCAGAGAGGTAGAGACGGCGGAGAGGCAGAGCCGCAGCCGGCAGAGACAGACTGGGAGTCTGGGATGGTGACGGACTGACGATGAGGGAGTCTGGGATGGCCGGACGGTGAGTGGACGACGGCGTGACTCGTGAGGCTGGGAGGCTGAGACACGGGAGAGAATGAGAGATAGACAAATAGTCAGATGGGGCTGGGTGAATCGCTATTCGCTAAGCTGCAGGGGTTTTTAATATTTTACTAGTATTTTCCCCACTGGGATTGGATTTGTTGTAATACTAGTATTTTCCCCACTGGGATTGGATTTGTTGTAATACTAGTTTTTTAGGCGCATTGCGCGATTAGGATAATGCCCAATGTTTTTTTTGTTATATAAGTACTTTAAAGTATATCAAGGCAAGATTATATTGGTATTGTTCGTGCATAGATAATTGAATATTAAACTTACGTATTTAAATAGGCAATTCTAAGTTTACAAATGCAAGATAATATAGTCCAGATTGATTATAATTGTCAATAAAATAATTGTATAGGTATGGTTGAAACCAAATACGGGACATAAGGGAAAGTAAATTAAAATTAGGGCATAAAATATTAAATATATACTAATATTGAAAAGTTAACTGCTGATTGCCAAACAAGGACATTGCGAGGTAGTTTCCTACTTCAATTTGTTGTGTGATTTGAATACTCTTTTTGTAAATAAATCCCTCAAGTAGTTAATATGATTGGCTTAATTATATATTTTTTTATTTTTTTAAAAACTATTATTATTATTGTTATTATTATTATTATTATTATTATTATTATTATTATTATTAAATATAGGTATACCCTTAGGTCATTTTACATGTTAACATAAACAACAGCTATTTTTTTCAAATATCATTTTATCAACCGTTGATATAATTCGCTGGTCAAATTCGCTAATATAATCCGCTAACGTTAACCGCTAACTGGTGATTGTCAAACAAGGACATTGCGAGGTAATTCTCACTTCAATTTGTTGTGTGATTTGAATACTCTCTTTGTCAACAAATCCCTCAGATAGTTAATATGATTGGCTTTATTAATTATATTTTTAAAATTTTTTCATGGTATTAATAAAATACTTGGTAAACAACTATATAGCATTATTTTGTATTATAACTTTGATATTTAATTAAAAAATAATGCACAAAAAATAATAGACTATGTAGTGAATATAATCAATTGATGAATTTGAAATTTGAATGTAAAGAATTTTTACTTCGAGAAATATAAAGACAATAGAACTAATAAAATTATGTCTCTTAATTAATGTATTGATAATGAATAATTTTTTTTTAGTAAAGACATTGTAGGGAATATAATCAATTGATGAATTTGAATGTAAAGAATTTTTTATTGGAGAAAAATAAAGACAATATAACTAATGAAATTATTTCTCTTATTTAATTTATTGATAATGAATAATTTTTTTTTAATAACGACATTGTAGACACATAATTCTAAATTAAAGAAATGCATATGTATTATTTTTTGTTGTAGCTACTAAATTATTATTTAATTTAATAAGACTAAAATAGAGTACTAATTATGCTAACTTTGATTAGGATAAGGTTCGAACCTAAGAGCTTTCTTATTGAAATCAATGAGTAAGTTAACGGTGAACTAACATAAAGTAACGGAAAAGATAATATTTAACGGAAAAGTTAACGGATAATCATATTCATTAAAGATAAATTAGTAAATCTTAAGGAAAAATTAAAATCTGATCAATCTGAGTCATTCATTTGATTAAAAAATTTGACCGCCATTTTTTGTACCCATTATATAGGCCTAACTCTCTTGGGCTCTTATTAGTATATATATATAGTAGATTAAGGATAAATAAATTAGTAAATCTTAAGGAAAAATTAAAATCTGATCAATCTGAGACATTCATTTATTAAAAAATTTGACCGCCATTTTTTCTACCCATTATAGGCCTAACTCTATTGGGCTCTTATTAGTATAGTAGATAGTAGATATTAAAAATATTTAGATCAATATATAATTATTTAAATTAAAATATCAAATATTATATAGTGTAATGAATATATAATTTGGATTATTTATTTGTTTTGATGTTATTATTGTTTGAATTTAAGTAAATAGTTACTCAAATTAATAGCTAATGACTTCATAGTCTACCATAATACAGAAGGATGATTTTTCTTTTAATTATATATAGATTTTTAAGTTTTAGATTTATATATATATATATATATTATTTATATATTATATAATATTATAATGTAATATATAATATTATACGGGGTCGGGGCGGGGATGCCGGCACCCATTCCTCGAAGAAATTTCCCAATTTGGGTGCAAAGATCGATTTTTTTCGTCGGAGGCGGATGAATTGTCATCCCTATTCTCTTCAAGATTGCGCCCACAGTTAGAGCCGTCAAAATGGGTTTAGCCCGCCGGGCTTTCCAGTCCCGCCCGCCAAAAAGGCGGGTTGGGCTCATGTTTTTGAAGTCCGTTTTAAAAAAAGACTTTTTTGCCCGCCCCGCCTAACCCGCGGGCTTGGCGGGGCGGGCTAGCCCGCCAGCCCGCCTTTTTTTTTTTTAGTTTTATATTATATATATATATATATATATATATATATATATATATATATATATATTAGTTACTTTACAGTAACTAATATATATATTAGTTACTTACAGTAACTAATATATATATTAGTTACTGTAAGTAACTAGTATACATATTAGTTACTGTAAAGTAATATATATACAATATAGTGTCGGTTATTCGGTAATCGCGGTTATTACAGCTTCGTAATTGATAAATAACCGAATAGTCGAATAATCAATTTTTTTTGCTTATAACCGTTAACCGAAATTATTGGTCGGTTGGTTATCGATTATCGATTTTTCGATAATTATACTTATCTCTATTGGTGTTATTGTTGTCATGTTGTGATGAACGAATTTATGTTATTTTTTATGAATAAGTGTTTTAAGTAGATAGCAATTAAGTTATTAACATAATCGCATTAGAGTTTAGATTTTAGGGACATCACACATGATTACAACAACAAAAAAAAAAAAAAACAGGCGGGCTTTGGCGGGGCCCGCGGGCCTAAGGGGGGCGGGGCGGGCTGCCCCTACCTAGGCCCGTATTCTTGGCGGGCTTTTTAGTCCGCCCCGCCAGCCCGCATTGACAGCTCTACCCACAGTTACACTTCATTTGGGCGCACCGAGCATGGTATTGTTTAAAAAAAAAAAAAATGGAACAAATTTCAAATAGATCACTAAATTTTTTACACATTGTGCAATTGAACTATAAAACAAAGAAAGCTTGTAATTTGACCATTCAAAACTCAAACAATCTGTAAATGATATTTTTTACAGGTTACTTCCAAGTTATCCTTAAATATTATGTCATAATGTCAAATTATATATATAAACTTATTTTGATTATTATTTTTAAAAATTAAAAGAAAAAAATGAAGATAGCAACAATAAATAAGAGAAACAGTGTTTGGGTTACCAGGTTAAAACTCACATTTATAAGTTGACAAAGATCAACTAAATTTAATTTAATTTTTATATTTATACAAATCTAATGAGAATCAATAAAGTTATGGTCTTAATGAAAAAATGTTAGTGCAATTATTTGTGAGCAAATTACCAAAATGGTCCCTCGACTATGTCGATTTCACCAATTTCGTCCTACTCATTTTGACTTCGCTAATTGCATCCTTCGACTATCAAAATTTTAACCGTTTAAGTCCTCTGTTGACTTAGACGGCAATTTTTTAGGGGTATTATTGGAAGTTCATTGTGCATTCACCATTTTCATCCGACGACGACGACGTAGAAGTAAAAGATGATTATACCACATTCGCAGCTGCCGCAGTCGGAGGCGCCAGCAGGAGTGGCTACGCCGGTGTCGCCTAGGGACCTGGAACGGTCTAAGTCGATGCCAGATAGTTTTGACGTGCCGGCAATTGGGAAGTTCTTTCGGGAAAAGAGTTACGGCTTATTGGATGTTATCACTAGGCGGATATCGTCGTTGAGGGAATCGCCTGAGGTCAAGAAGGTGGAGTCCGATTACAAAGTGACGGAATTCAACCTCTCCGGCCTCAAAGTGATCGTCAACTTGAAGCTGGAGGATGAACATGGGACGCGGCTCCACGAAAGAGTGGCCTTCTTCTCGCGATCCAATTGCCGAGACTGCACTGTACTGCCGTCCGGTTGTTCCTACGCGAGAGAAGGCTCAATTTTGCGAAAATCAACGTTGACGTGTATTCGGAGAGAGAGAAGGAATTAGTACAGAGGACAGGGAGTGCAATTGTGCCGCATATTTTCCTCAACGAGAAGTTGCTGGGATGACTCGTCGCTTTTAATTCGCTACAGAACAGTGGAATGCGGGATAAGAAACTGAGTGAAATGTTGTCCGGAAAGTGTCCGGATGATGCGTCGTCGTCTCCCGTCTACGGATTCGATGAACCAGAGGACCAGAGGGATGGGTGGCGGAGATTAGAGAGTGGTGAGGCAAAAGTTGCCGATTCAGGACCGGTATTATTGGAAGTTCACTGTGTGGACTGTATGGTCCATACAATAACCACCTGCGGCTCGTGTTGAAATCGAGCTTTCTCGAAGAGCTTTTCGCTCCGAAACCATAATCCCAGCGGCCGCCTCCTTCGCTGTGTTCAGTATTATATCAGCATACGCCGGCATCGGAGAAGGTGAATAGGCGGCGACGGACGTAGTGGGTGTTGAGGAAGGTGATGTGGAGGCAGAATATCTCAGCGAGTTTGAGAATGGAGTTGCTGTATTTGCTTATACGTCGGAGGAGGAGGATGAAAATGGCGAATGCAATGAACTTCCAATAATACCCCTAAAAATTGTTGTCTAAGTCACCGGATGACTAAAATGGTTAAAATTTTGATAGTCGAAGGATGCAATTAGCGAAGTCAAAATGAGTAGGACGAAATTGGTGAAATCGACATAGTCGATGGACCATTTTGGTAATTTGCTCAATTATTTGTTAAAATGAATGTTTCATATCCTTTTGATTTTAGTATTTTTTTTAATGATTTTATGAGCCATTCATTTCAACAAACAATTACACCACTGATCGTTAGTTTACATATTGAGTTTCTATTTTTGTACATCACACATAAAAATAATAGTTATTAAAATAATTGACAACATTGACCATTCA